AAGTATGAACTTAAGATCTTCTATGTATTAAAAATAGCACATTAGGTACTTTATGTACTGATATAAAGCCATCTCCCAGGTCTATGTTACAGGGGGAAAAAAACAAAGTACAGAACAGTGTGAAAAAAAAACAACTTTTTTTTGTGTGTAAATATTACCATTTGTAAAAAAAAAAAGAGGGAGTAGGAGATAGGCTATCTATAGTATTTATGTGTGTATAGATAAATGTATTATACATTTGCTTATGTACGCATTCTTTGGAAGGATACATAAGAAATAAAGAATGGTAGTTTCTTTGGTTTGACTCTGTGGAGAGGCACCTTGAAAGAGAGGCCCAGTGATCTACTTCTGAAAGATGACAGCCATTGAAAACCCTGTAGAACTCATCTCTACTTGGAAATATATTGGGTCGCCATGATTCAGGATCGACTTAACAGCAACTGGTAGTTTCGTCCAGAAGGGAACTGGGTAGCTGAGATATAAGGGTGGTTTAGAGATGTTTTTGCTGTTTAACCTTTTAAATTTGAACCATAAGACGGTTTAAAATTATTAAATAATAATTAAAAATGAAAAAGTCCATTAAAACAGAAATAAAACTGGCCAAATGAAAATGTCTTTCTCAATAGAGGAGCAAGCATTTTGAACTTGGAGGTTGGTGTGGTTGCAGTGGGGTATGGTTAGAAAGACATTAGGAAGCCAATCCATCAGAAGAGACTGGAGTGCGCTAGAGGCAGGGTTTCAGGCTGGCAACGTGTGGGCACTGACTGTGGCAGGTTTCAGGGATTACGAGCAGCTTTCCAGTGGAGGCAGGGGACGAGATCTGAAATGTAATCAAAATGGATCTGGCAGGTGGGTGTAAGAGAACCTGGATACCTGGCGGGGGAGGTGGGGCTGGGGTCTGAGGATGGATGGCTGGTGGGAGGCTCTTCCCAAGGAAGAGGCAATGATCTGGTGGGAAGAAAGCAGAAGGGGCAGGTAGGAAAAACGCTGAAGGCCCAGGGCCAGCACTCAGGAAATAGATGCTGAACTAAGAAATGAATGTATAAAAACCGTAGAACTGTGTTAAAGGAAGGGGAACAATGGGTTAGAAGATGACTCTGTGGGCCCAGCACCATTCTAAGCACTGGGAGAGAACCGTGACCGAGGTGGACAAACATTCTAGCCTGGAACAGCGTAAATGTGAGTGATGTGAAGGTTTGCTGAATCTGGGTGACAGGATGACTGGAAGAGCCCATTAAATATTCTTCAAAATCATGCTTTTAGTGGCTGCATAATATTCCATCCTACAGATTTACTATAATTCTAAGCAATTATAAAGACATTTGGGTTGTTTCCATTTTTTTTCTCACTTTTATAAACGGATCCACAATGAACAACCTTCTATATGATCTCATATATAAATCATTTGACCGTTTTTCTTTAGGATAAGTTCGTAGAAGCAGACCATTTGGGTCAAAGGGCACAAACATTTTAAGGTATCTGAAAACGTATTAAGGAACTGATGGTCCAGGCTCTGGCCTCTGGCTGAATTTGAGGAGCTGAAAGGTTATCAGAGGAAACTGTAAACCTAGCAGTGGGAGAATGAATGTCTTCCTCTTGAAGGGGTGGAGGAAAGAAGAGGTCTGAGAAGAGTCTGTGGAGAATGAAAGGCAAGGACAGGGAAGGAGGTTCCCAAGGTGGGAAGACAGCAGAGGAGGAAGCTGGGGGGTGGCAGATTGGGGAGAGAGGAGGAGGAGGAAAAAGAGGATGAGATCGTGGAGAAATTGGAGGAATTCAAAGAAGATGAGTTTTAAGATGGAAATGTGGCCAAATAGAGTCAAATACTGTAGAGAGAAGAAAGTAACTTGAAGAAGCAGGGTTTGGGAGTCACTAGTGACCTTCAAGGAGCCCTGGTGGCACGGTGGTTAAGAGCTAGGCTGCTAACCAAAAGGTCAGCAGTTCAAATCCACCGGTTGCTCCTTGGAAACCCTATAGGGCAGTTCTACTCTGTTCTATAGGGTCACTAGGAGTTGGAAACGACTCCATGGCAATAGGTTTGGTATTTTTAGTGACCTTCAAAGGATTGAAGTGGAAAACACAAAAACAGGTCTTAGGAAATGTTAAAGCCGAGATTATCATCCCTTCCTGAGCGTGAACCCCTGACCACTGGGCTTGTTACAATGCAGAATCCTGACCTTCCTTCGTGCTAATCCTCTCAAATTGGCATTTCTAAACAAGCACCCCCAAGTAATTCAGGCACATGTGGCCCCTTGAACACCCTTTGAGGGGATGGCTGTGGAAGAAGTCAAGATGGACTCCTTGTTCACAAAGACTCTACGTGAGTGGATTTATGGGAAAGTAGTAGGGTTGAGGAAAGGCTTTTAAAAGAGGTTCAGAGAGATCTGAGGGGTTTGTAGCAGAGGCAGAGCCAGAGAGGGAGAGGCAGAAGCAGTGAGTGAAAGAGGAGGCTGCAGGGGAGAAGCCATCAGAGGAGGAAAGACAATGTGGATCGAGAGGTCAGAGACAGGAGGGAACTAGAGGGTGGCGAAGACACTGGTTTCAGAGGAACAGCAAGTCGAGGGGCTCAGGATGAGTAACCTCTGTTTTCTCGGAAAAGGAGGAACTGAGGTCACCTGCTGGGAATGGCTTAGGGCTTGAGAAGACCTGAGAAGGTTTGAAACAGCCCTGATGAGGGGCTTTGTAGAGCATCAGTGAGGGCAAAGAAGGCTCATCGGGAACCCTGTGGGCCGCTGGAGATTCGGCCTGACTAAAACAACCAAGTTCCTGAGTGGTGCAAACAGATAAGTGCTTGGCTACTAGCCAAAAGCTTGGCAGTTTAAACCCACCGAGAGATGCCCTGGAAAACAGGCCTGGTGATCTACTTCTGAAAGGTCACAGCCTTGAAAACCCTATGGAGCAGTTCTACTCTGCACACAAGGGGTTGCCATGTGTCGGAATCGACTCCACAGCAACTGACAACAACAAAACAACCCAAGACAGCATCTCCACACCACATGGCTGTTCTGAGGAGATTCCAATTTCTACTTCTTCCTCTGAGAAATATCTGCATTTCAGCATCTAGTTGTTTCACTCCTTGGTTAAGGTTTCATTTTTAAAGAACTTTTAAAACTTCCTCTGTCAATAAATTACCCGTCATCCCTTTGAGATTGCCCCGTCTTCCTTCACCGCTCTCTGCTTTCTTTTATATGTATCTTAATCTTTTGTGCGATCTTCCCTTCACTCCCATCTTCTCCTTTTTCTATTTCGTTTTTACAATACTTTCAATCATTTTCCAGTTGGCTCTCTCCTCGTACCTCTGCCTTCTCTAGGCCCCTGGTTCCCTGGTCCCTCCCCTCCTCGCTTTAAGCCTAGCTTTTCAGCCCCTTCCCAGCCCATCCACACTTTCATTTTGGTTCAAGGTGCACGTATTATAAGCAGGACTGGCTACTTAATTTGCAGGCCCCAACAAAAAATGAAAATGTGGGGCTCCTTGTTTAAAAATTATTAGGAATTTCAAGATGGTGACAACAGAGCACTATACCAAGTGTGGGCCTGTGGGGTAAAGGACCTAGTTTTATCCCAGGTAAGATGGTCTTTGTGCTCGGGTCCAAGGATATAACCTTTGGAGTAATCAAGGTGCCTTGGTTTGGGACATCCAGGCCACACCTGAGAATTTACGCTGGTGAAAAGACTCAACTGGAAGGCCAAGGTCAACTAGCCTTAGGAGGCATGAATTAGCCTCTCATGCAGGACTGGCCAATAAAAGGGACCCAAACAGACACTAGGAGCCAGCAGGTCAGAAAAGTAAGGGTGTTGTGTGGACTCTTGAGCTTGCAGCTGGCATCCTCAAGCGGTGAGAAGCCAGCCCTGAATTTGTGACCAGCAGGTCAGGAGGTTGGGGTGTCATGTGGACTCCCCAAACTTGTGGCTGCAGTTTGCCTATTTGGTAGTCTGAAGGATGACGTCCTTTCAACTGGTAAGCTCTGATCTAGCTCTGGGTGGCTAGGGTCAGAGAGAGAGTACCACATGGCAGCTGGCAATGTGGATAGAGAAGCAGGAATGGGATCATCTCCACATTTTGGGGATTGGATTCATATTAATCCTTACCATGCAGGGCCCTTCTGAGTGTGGACCCCCATGTGACTGCACAGGTCACACGCTCATGAAGCCAGATCTGTTGGGGAGGTGCATTGCCTTGACTTACTGTTTACTCACCATTCTCTGAACGCTTTGTTTGCCTCCTGTCATCTCTAACTGCTGCTTTAACTTGCTTGATTTTACACAACATAGTCAACATGCTGATAAAAACCAAATGAGACACTGGGTTTCAATAATTGTTCCTTTTCACCACCTTTTTGGTGATCAGGAAGAGTTCATGAGACCTCCTTTATAGGCCCAGCTGCCTGAAGAAGTTGGTGCTTGGGTGTTTCCTGCAATTCAGAGTCCCTCAAAGTCATGCTGTGAGGTTAAAATGGCACCGAGGAAGCTTCTTCCCTCAGGGGATGTGGAAAAGTGGATTACGTCACCCAGGCAGTCATACCATGGAAATCGCCCATGGAATATGCATTACTTAGTACATGGTCAGAGTAAGCATTTAATAAATGATGGCCAGTATTATTTCTGTGATTGACTCCAGCTGATGCCCAAGATGCTGCCATAATGCAGAGGCACAGCTCTAGTTTAATAATTTCCTTCCAGATTTGAGGGGTCTAAACTCCTTCCTGGACTCCCTGGGCGGTGCAAATGGTTAATGCGCTTAGCTACTAACCAGAAGGATGGAAGTTTGAGTCCACCCAGCAGCGCCTTGGAAGAAAGGCCTGGTGATCGACTTCTGAAAAATCATTCAAAATCCTAGGGTAGCACAGTTCTACTCTGACACACGTGGGGTCTCCATGAGTCAGAGTTGACTCCATGGCAACTGGTTTCTTTAACTCCTCCCCTTAATGTCTGTATTTCCACCTGGTTATGATTAATTTCTGATATCCTTTCCCTATCCCCCAACCCAAGGGTCCACCACCTACTTGTTGGTTTGCCTCTGGTGCTGGATGACCATGTTCTTCTCATGGATTGTCTCCAACAGGGCTGTAGCCAGAGATTTCAGGTCAGAAATGGACTGTGGAGTGGCTGGGAGACTGCACCCGTGGTCTTCAGATAACAAATCCTGAACTGGGTAGGACATACAAGTTACAGCTCAGTCTTAAATTCTTCTGGAATGTAAACCAATGCCAACTCCTCCTGAATATTATGTTCCCAGTTTCTTGATGCTACTATATTGTATTGAGAGTCAACCTCAGGTGTCAAAAGTAGAACAAAATAAAATTCAGTGTGGGGCTTACACAGTAAGGAGTATGTTCTCATGGGCTTTTATCAACATTTTTTTTTTTAAAGGATAATACTCTTTTGCATGTGTGAAGTATTTTATACTTTTCAAAACACTTTCACACTAACTCATTTGAGATTTTAAAAAACAAACCCTGGGAAGTATTATTTATTCCCATTTTATGTACAGGAAACCGAGGCACAGATGGGTTAAAAACATTCACCGAGTCACACAACCATGCTAACGACAATGACTCTGATATGAGCCCTTTGCTTTATATCAGAATTTTCCATGGTGTGGTACCCCCGGTGGGTGGCAAGGTGACTGAGGGAGATTATTTAAAATACAAACTGTGCTTTGTATTTTAATAGTATGTTATTTATTGGAAGTATTTTAGAAACAATTCTAAGAGGCACAGCAAACCAGTGATCTCACAGATATTACTATTTAGGATGAGGCCAAGTAAAATGCGTACTTTAAAATCAATTTAAAGAAAAATATTAAGTAAATAACAGTATAAGTGGTACAAGGAAGGATATAGCAAAAAATTACGTAGTAGACTGCAAATGTCTAAATGTTGGGAAAGGGTACTTTACACAAAGACTAGCTGTTCCTGGATGCTTGTGATTCCACAGACTGCCAAATCACATCCATGGCCAAGTTCAAAACTGAAGCCAAGCAACATACACAGCTCAGTGTAATTGAAGGATTCAGGCCCATGCAAAGTGGCCTATCGCCTCTGCCCTGGAAGAAGCTGTTTACAAATCTCCAGTCATCTATGGATGGCTCTGATAGATGGAAAATTCTTTTATCTTTTTTCCAGTTTCAAAAGTGTTTACTTAAAAAAAAAAATCTGATTTGTCTCCATCCCACTTATATATATTTAAAGGAACATTCGTTTAAATAAGGAATTCCCCTTTTTTGAAGAAAAAAATGTTTCACTGTATATCTAAAGTCAAAAACCAAACCCGTTACCATCAAGTCGATTCCAATTCATGGCAACCCCATGTGTTACAGAGTAGACCTACTCCATAGGATTTTCTAGGCTATAATCTTTACAGAAGCAGATCACCAGGCCTTTCTTCCGTGAAGCCACTGGGTACGTTCCAACCTCCAACCTTTAGGTTAGCAGATGATCACAAACCACTTGTGCCATGCAGGGGTCCTATTTGTATATCTACATATAGGCATATAGGAAATGATGTTCAAAGTTATATACTGAGAGGTTTATACTGTATTTTTTTGGTCTGTCTAGTAGGAGTCCAAGTGCTAATCATTTTTTTGTATTATTTCTTAGTTTGTTGTTGTTGTTAGGTGATGTCAAGTCAATTTCCACTCCTAACGGCACCATGTGACAGAGTAGAACTGTCCCATAGAATTTTCTCAGTTGTAATCTTTACAGGAACAGATCGCTAAATCTTTCTCCTGTGGAGTCACTGGGTGTGTTCAAACCACCAACTTTTCAGTGAGCAGCTGGGGGCTTAACCATTGTGCCACCAGGGCTCTTTATCTCTTAGTTTACCTATCATTTATTCTTTTAAATAAGTCAGGTGTGGTATGACGAGCTTAGAAAATAGCAGGACTATTACCTCCTTTATCCAGATATCATACTTCTGTTAGTTAATGTGAAATTTTATTCAATTTTTTGGCAACAAAACGCCACTGATGAAGGGTATGAGAGCACTGTCTACAAAAACCTCTACAACTTTTTCATATGTGATGCTGCTCAAACCCTGCTGCCCCAGTTATGTTTGGCTGGCTTCAAAACTGCTTAAATTGCCGTTGGAAGCCACCAGCCCCTTCCACAGCATGGGCCCAATCTGTGTGTGGGTCATTCAGACGCTCTTACACATGCGTTCTTTCTAATTCTGTGTATCTGTTCTTCAAGTCTGGCTTGAGGTTTTTATTTTTATTTGTTTATTTTATGTGTTCTCTACCCTACTCCCATTACAAAAGTAAAGCATATATTTAGACAAGGTAAATAAAATAAGAGATAAAGACAAAAATCACTGGTACTCCTACCAGACAGACAAAAAGAAACAGTATAAACCCCTCACTATATATCTATAAGGATTCCCTGGGTGATGCACACAGTTAAGCACTTGACTACTAGCTGAAAGTTTGGTGGTTCTAACCCACTTAGAGGCAGCTCAGGAGACAAGCCTGGCAATCTGCTCCTGAAAAGTCACAGCCTTGAAAACTCTACGGAGCAGTTCTACTCTGCAACACATGGGATTGCTGGTTTCTTTTTTAAATATATATCTTTGAACATTACTCCTTATATACCTATATGTAGACATACAAATACAGTACTTTTTCTTCAAAAGAAATGCGAAAAAGCCTTGCTTTTTTCACTTACCAATATTCATCACCAAATATCCCCTAACCAATATTCATCACCAAATACCCCTAAAGCATAAAATTTAATAGCTGCTTTCATAGTCCACGTGTATTATGTATAATCTAATTACTACTGGACATTTACGTTGTTTCCAATTATTTTTATCGTAACTAATACATGGAAGAACTTTCTTGTAGCAAAATGTTTGCATATGTTTTAATTATATCTTGCTGGTTTCAAAGGGGATCCACTTAAGGCTTTTCATGAAATGTTGCCAACTATTTATCTAAAGGTTGGGTGAGATTTACAGTTCTTCCACCAGCTGGCATTCCCCACATGAAGGATGATAACACTGAGTATCAACATTCAAAAATGGTTTGCTAAGTTTGGTATCAGGAACTAAACTTAAATGGACTACTTCACTTTTTTTTTTTTTTTTAATAGAGTATTGTAGTCTTCTTTTAGAAAACAATTCTAGGGTGTCCTTCTCTAGTTGAGTGGAAAAAAGAAGGTGTTTGGAAAAGTGCCTTGGTTGCTAGGTAGGCTGAAGACTCAGCAGTGTTTTTCAGCCACTCTAGCTCTGATAAAGACTGCCACGTGATAGTTGCTGGTCCGCACTGCCAACAACCAAAAAGTGGGCCAGCTGAGCATGTTCAACTTGAGGCTGATGTTTAGAACCGAATTCTGAATATTAAGTGTCAAAAGCAAGCTCTCTCCTCTTCATTCCCCTGGACTGCTCCTGGAAGATCATTACTTCTCATTGGAATCAACAAGAGGGAGGAACAAAACTGCAATCAATAAAAGCCTCTTCGAAAAAAGTCACGTTTCATGATAATATGATTTCAGCATCTCTGGAACTTTTCTATTCTAATCTCAGAGGCCACGAGAAGGAGAAAGTCAACGAGGTGAAACCCGTCCTTGGAGATGCTAACCTGGTAATTAGAGAAGAGAAGCCACTCTTGAAAGGATAGCACAGCATAGGAGCAAAACATCTGAATGGCGTCCAGTCATTAAAAGCGCTCTAAAGGAGCAGTTCTCAAAGTGGGGTCCCAGAATCAGCATCACCTGGGAATGTTTTTTTAGAAATACATATTCCTAGGTTCCACCTCAGACCTATTGAATCAGAAACTCTGGGGTGGGGCCCAGGCATCTGTGTTTTAACAAGCCGTCCAGGCAATTCTGATGCGGGCTGGAGTTTGGGAACTACTGCTCTCAGGACCATTTCAGTTCCCAATCACAAAACAAGTGGGCTGGACAAGATGGCGTCTGTGGGGATGCACAGCTCTAGCATTCTCTGCCCTAAGTGGTCCCTCCTGGAGAACAAAATCCTACCTTGCTTTGCAGACAAGACCCCAGTCAGGGCACTGCTGTTGCATTTACCCTGGCCCTTTGAGTTTTTCCGTCTCTCGAGAGCATTCTAGAGTAGCATTAGGAGAAAATAAAAAGCTTTGTCAGGAAATCCAATAACAGAAAAATATCTAGTTACAATAGGTGCGTCTTCCCATCCATCACACAAAAACCCCTTGCAAACTCCAAATGCTGGCCCAAAATTTAGAATTCTGAATCCTTAAATTATAATTATACAAATGATCATGAAGACAGCACAGGACTGGGCAACGTCTGCACATGAGGTCGCCATGAGTTGGAGCCAACTCAATGGCAACTAACAATAACAAGTTATGATTGACTTTATGGTCCCAGTAGAGAATTAAAAAAATAAAAAAGTTGGTGGTTAGCAGAATGAGAGCAATCCCAGCCTGTATACAAAAGGCACTCGATTTATTTGTTAAATTAAATCAAACCTGAAGCAGAAAGTCAGTGTGAAGCCACTAATTATGGAAACCTACTCCGAATAGACCTGAGATGGAGAAAAGGTTTACTCTCATGTGCCAATGCCAATAGATGGCTAGTGGTATTTAGAAAGGTTCTGTGGCTGGATAGCAAAGAAAGCCATGATCGATTAGTGATGTCTGCCTTGGACACAAGATTAAGGAAGTGCATAAGAGCCACCTACCTGTCATCCCTAGACCAGATTCTTACATTAAACTGATATGTAGTAGATAGCCAGTGCTTGACACATAACAGAACTGAATAAATGTTGTTAAATTAATGTGTACACACATTTTTAAAAATTATGTGTTAATTACACAACTTTAAAAGCTGTAATCTTCTTTGGCTGCATGAGTATATACAGGATTGGTAAAAACAAAAATGTGGCCCCTCACAGAACAGTAAGTAAGAATAGCATGGAGACTTCTGAGAAAAAAACCGAACGTCAAAAGCCAGGGAAATAAGAAGACTCTTCCAAGCATCCAGACTGCTGCAAAACTTCACCCTCAGGAAGAGAAATCAATCTATTTTCAAAGCAGAGAAACCCAGGAGATTTTTCTAATTATAACATTTACAACCAACATCTGCAGAAATAGATATTATTAAACTAATGGTGCTGGAATTAGACTAAATAACAGTGGGAAGAATTTAAACATTCTGTCCTTTCAGTGTGACGTGAACATTATTATTTAGATTGTGATTTACTAATCTCTCTTTCTTCATTTCTCTGAAACCGTTTTTTTATGGATGGTTATGGGACAAGTAGCATCTTACGGCCATTTTATTAAAAAACTAGGTAAGAAACCTAATTTCATATGAACCGAAGCTGTAAAGTAGACAAGTTCAAATTCTGGTGCCCTCAGTGGGTGTTATTTGGATCACAGCAACAGAAGGAACTCTTGGAAAAGGCCCTTTGGGTTTTATGAGTTGTTTTTGAGTTCAGTTTACACTGGTTAACGCAGTTAAAGCTCTTATTGGACTCTATCTGGGAAGGCAGGCGAGCACGGAAGTATCTTTGGCACATAAAAGAGAATTAAAATAGAATGACATTTAGATGCACAATAGTGAATCATCATCATTGTTCTCATGATTTTGCTACCTTGTATTTGGCAATGTTACATTTCAGGAGGTTGACCTCTTCATGGAGCTGCTTTAATCTCTCTTGAAGGTACCTAGAAAAGAATATAGACAACTAGGAAGTGTTTAAAGGAGCCCCAAGTGGTGCAATGGTTAAACACTCGACTGCCAATCGAAAGGGAGGCAGTTTGAACCCACCCAGTGGCCCTGTGGGAGAAAGGTCTGGCGATCTGCTTTTGTAAAGATTACAGTCTAGAAAACCCTATGGGACAGTTCTACGCCATCACGTGGGGTTGCTGTGAGTTGAAATCAACTTGATGGCAGGCAACAACAATAGAAAGTATCTGAAGACAAAATAAAAACATGCATTCAAATATAAAAGGGGGAAAAAGAAAACCACATGTCTGAAGAGCCATCTTTTAAAATACAAGGCTTTGCCTCTTACTACTGAAAGGAGGAAGAGAAAAAGTACATCTTTGTGACCTCTGCTCAAATGGAAGCGATCAAGGTCAAACATGCCCAAATCACAGAAACCCCACTTTAAAACCTCCCTCTGCAGAGATCCCCTAAGGGATAGCAGCACAGTTTTCACATAATTCTCATTAAGATGATTCCACCGGGAGGTAAAGCAGGAAGAGGCGACACCAGTCATAACATTAAGTCAGAAGCATATGCACACTGAAATTTGCCTCGGGGAAATGAAATAGCTAAGGGAATTTCTCAGTTTCTTTTCTTATTCTTTCCCCTTTCCTTGATAGCAATACAAGCAGCTTTCACAGGTTCCTTACCCTTCTCATCCAATCAGGGAGGGTAGGGGGAAGTTGGAAGGGGTATGTGTGTAGGCATGTAGGTGTGTGACGCTTCTTTACAACTAGTAACCAGTTATCAGTTGCCATCAAGTTGACTCCGACTTATGGCAACCCCACGTATGTCAGAGTAGAACCGTGCTCCATAGGGTTTTCAGTGGCTGATTTTTCAGAAATAGATGACCAGGCCTTTCTTCTGAGGTGCCTCTGGGTGGACTTGCACCTCCAACCATTTGGTTAGCAGCTGAGCGCTTAACCATTTGTACCACCCAGTTACTTACAACTAGTATGTGACATTAATATCATCGTTTTGGGTGCTGTGATTTTCCTTTCACTGTAAGGCAATTTTCTCAAATGTAAATAGGGTTGCAAATAAACTCCCAGCCTCCAGGCATGTGCAATAGCAGTTCATCCAAGTGCAGGCCTGGAATCAGCCACTTGCCTGTTCTCCATGCACAAGGCATCCACGTCAATGATGCGGTTCTCATGCCCACCCAAGATATGGTTTAGCTCCTGGTTTAGCCTCTCCACTTTGTCCTGGTAGGAAGACCGTTCTTCTTTAACATCCTGAAGCTCATCCACAGAGGCCTGCAGGTCATGCTCCAAAGACTCAATCTGAAACCAAAGGAGGTACCCTCACTCAAGATGTTTTTCAGACACCAGCTTTACGGCCAGAGATGGAGCATTCCATTTGGCTGACTGACTTTGAGAAAGCTTATTAATATCACCCATGTGCTATAAAACCATAAATGCCACATACTGGAATGAGATAAAAAAGCTAAAACGCTAAAACCAAGGGGACGACTGCCTGCCAGACACTTACTATATCTACCTTGGAGAGGCGTAGCAGTATGGAAATCAACACTGAACCCTTACTACCAGTTAAACCAGTTGGTGTTGAGGTGACTCCCATTCATGGGGCCCTCATGTGTGTCAGAGTAGAACTGTGCTCCTCCATAGGGTTTCCAGTGGCTGATTTTTTCAGGTAGACCACTGGGTCTTTCTTCCCAAGCGCCTCTGAGTAGACTGGAATCTCCCACCTTCTGGTTAGCACCAAGTGTGTTAACCATTTGCATAACCCAGGGGCTCCTTACAGCATGCCCTAAAGCCAAAGACAGGCAGAGGACAACTCCAGACACTGGGGACAGCGGCTTACAAATACATATTTTCAGCAAATCCACTCTAGACCCAGAAACCTTGTTCTGCTCTTCAAAACCAATTAGTAAGAAAAGGAAACAAAGTCTAAGCTCTCCTAGCCATTTCCTAACTAGGGCTTGGTAACCGCTGAGATTTTGCTTAAGAAGCATTGCCCAGCGTTTTAGTGGAAACTTGCAAATGAACGCCAGTTTGTCACATTTTGTTCCTTCCCTTTCCACACTGGTATGGCAGGATATTTCTAGTTGTGTTCAGAACAGTGGTACCCAAAGTCTAAGGGAGAAGACCTGCTGGATGCCAGAAATACAAGAGTTGGCTTGGGAACCTAGAGGAGTGCCAAGGAAGTTACAGCGTTCAGCCTGTATCCTTTTTCCTCCTCTGACGCGGATACAATGCACCTAATGCTTCCCAATATACAGGGGGCACAGTCTGCTCTTCTTTGCGTTGTGGCCAGCTGTGCAAATGCATGTCCCGCTTTTAATAGCTGTGAGTGGTAACCTGTTCCTTAGCTCTTTCCAGCTGCTGAACCAAGTCTTCACGCTCATGGGCTGCAAAGTGGCGCACGCCGATTTCTTCATCTCCTAACCTCTGCTTGGCAATGGTCATCCTCAAGAGCTGCATTTTCCATTAACAGGAAAATAATAAAATAAAAAAGAGAAGGAGAAAGTTAAAATGAAAGACCCAAAGGAAAACCCCAAGGACACTAGACAGCTTTAGGAAGACTCTCTCGATAAATATTGGGAAAGACACGAAGCAAAAGAAATTTCCTGCCAATATTATGAATTCAAAAATATATACATTTTGAAGTATAATACATGTTGTATTTTACACACACACACATACACACCAGGTGTAAGAGTAACAGGAATAGTCCTGGGCATCTAAAGGTGGATGTTCTGTATAGGTAGCAATGTCACAGTTAGTGATAGAAACAAACTTGGGGTCTCGTTTAAACTTAGCAAAGATTAAAAATTGATAATATGATACTGGGAAGGATCTGTTGAGACGGACATTCTTCCACATTTTGGCTGGGGTGGAAAGGAGCAAATTCCCCTTAACAATTAAGCTATGTTACTCAGAAGAAAGTCCTGGCGATCTACTTCTGAAAAATCAGCCACTGAAAACCCTATGGAGCACAGTTCTACTCTGACACACAGGGGGTCACCACGAATGGGAGTCAACTTGATGCCAACTGGTGTGGTTATCAAGAGCCTTAAAAATGTCTTTACCCAATGACCCATTAATTCTACTTCTGACAATCTGGGCTAAGAATAATCTTAAACATGGACTAGTTTTAGGAGGAAAAAAAAAATTAGACTGCACTGTTATTTATAGTAAGAGTAAAAAAACTGGAAACAATGTCCAACAATGGTGGAATGGTTAGCAAACTATAGTGCAGTCAAATGATGGACGGGCTAGTTTGCAGACATTTGAAATGAGGGTTGTGAGAACTACCTAACACAATGGAACGTTTATGATGCAATGGGAAGGGTTAAAAAATACTAGTTTGTATATTGAGTTGGGATGAAAACTATACCTAATAACTCATGCACAGAAGAAAAATTAAGAAAAAATTACCAAATAACACCAAAAATCTTCAAATGTATAGGTTCAGGGGGTGGTGAGAGTATGTATGCTATTTGTTACTTATTTTCTTTGTATTTAACTCTTAAAATTGGCAGCCATGACTTTCATAATATATTTTTGCTTATGTTTTAAGATCCCTAGAAGTAAATCTGCAGTCTTCAGAAACGTAATTTCTGAAGGATCCTTGCAGAACCCATACCAAAAACAAAACAAAACAAAACCAAAAAAACAAACCAGTTGATCGCTAGGCCTTTCTTCTGCAGCGCCTCTGGGTGGATTCAAACTGCCAGCTTTTTGGTTAATAGACAAGCACTTAACTATACGTGCTCCACGGGGACTCCTTGCAGAACCCATAACTTCCCCAAACTCCTGGGCTGAGCCCTAACTGGGGCCCCGAGCCTTTCAGGCAGGGCTGGGATGGGAAGTGAGAAGTCCCAGGGAGATCCGATGGCCCCAGAGCATTTCCCCTACCTGTTTAACATAGCTCCAAGTAGCTCACCATTAAAGACTGACTTTTTAAAGTTCACAGAGAAGAAAGGCCTGGCATCTGCTTCTGTAAAGATTACAGCCAAGAAAACCCTGTGGAGCAGTTCTACTCTGTAACACATGGGGTCGCCATTGGTCAGAATTAACCCCACGGCAATGAGCTTTTTTTTGCAGGCGGGTTTGGTTTTAAAGTTACGCTACTGCTTCCTGATGCTTCTTCTAAGAGGTGTTAAACCTGATTTCCACACACCCCTGTAGGGTGTATATGGATGGGCTTCATGTATGGAAGGCGTACTGGAGACAGTTTTCCACTGGCACAGATCCCACTCCGCCAGGAGCACCTACTTTGGGGATGCTCTTCCTTGCTCCTGCATGAATCTCAAGGGATTAGTTGCCAGTAGAGAAAGTAGATTTATTTGAAAAGTCTTTGAAGGATGAAGGGGCAAGTGAGAGACAGAAAGTTAATTCAAGCCAAGTGGGCAGCGGTGGTTAAATGGCAGAATTCTCTCCTTCCATGTGGGAGACCAGGGTTAGATTCCTGACCAATGCACTCCATGCATAGCCACTACCCATCCGTCAGTGGAGGCTTGTATGTTGCTATGATGCTAAGCAGGTTTCAGTGGAGCTTCCAGACTAAGATGGACTAGGAAGAAAGATCTGGTGATCTGCTTCCAAAAATCAGCCAATGAAAACCCTATAAATCACAATGGTCCAATCAGCAACAGATCATGGGAATGACGCAGAACTGGGCAGTGTTTCATTCTGTTGTGCATGGGTTGCCATGAGTCAGGGGGCCAACTCAAGGGCACCTAACAGCAACAGAATATTAACTAAATTGAAATAAAACCTATTGTCATCGAGTCAGTTCTGATTAATAGCGCCCCTATAGGACAGAGTAGAACCACCCCATAGAGTTTCCAAGGAGCAGGTGATGTATTCGAACTGCCAACCTTTTGGTTAGCAGCCGTTGCTCTTAATCACTGCGCCACTGGGGCTCCAAAATAGTAAATAGTAAATAACAGCAACGCACATTGAAAGAAATGATGACCAAAGGAAAGTAAAGAGCATTTTCAAATGACATTTCTTTTGAGTCCTCATTTGGAAAATACTCAGTGGACTTCAACAAATATTTCCTGTATATCTACTATGGAACCAGGAGTCCCTGGGTAGCACAAATAGTTAAGTGCTCAACTACTAACTAAAAGGTTAGCTGTTCAAAACCCATCCAGAGGCACCTTGGAAGAAAGGCCTGGTGATCTGCTTCTGAAAGTTCACAGCCATGAAAACCCTATGGAGCACAGTTCTACTCAGCACACATGGGGCTGCCATGAGTCAAAACCAACTCGATGGCAACTGGTTTGGGTTCTTTTTTTCTAACTATGGGACTGGGTAGACAGTGTTCCAGGCAGGCAGCACGGCTTGTACAAAGGCTTGACGCTCAGCCATCGAAATGAGTCGATTCTGAGTCACAGCGACCCTATAGCCTAGAGTAGAACTGTCCCATAGGGTTTCCAAGGCTGTAATCTTTAAGGAAGCCGACTGCCACATCTTTCTCCTGTGGCGCGGTTGGTAGGTTTGATCCGCTAACCTTTTGGTTAGCAGCCAAGTGCTTAACCACTGCACCACCAGGGATCCTTAAAGGCCTGGCAGAGAAGGGATAACACTTAGGTATACAGATGGCTGCGTTTAATGGAATCTGATCATTTAGGGGAAACTGGGTTTGTGGCAACTGATTAACTCAACTGAAAGCTGGTATGCGAAAAACACCTTCCAGTCGCACAATTCTTTGTTCAGAGCTTCAGACGGCCAAGTAGATATACAGAAAGACAAATAGCAAACCAAATAAGAAATGTAGCTCAGGGTCTAGGAACAAGAAGGCCCGAACTTTCATAGCATGAAGGCTGCAGGAGCCTGGGACTAGTCTTTGATATGTGAAAAGCCAGACTGACAGCCTGAACTTTAAGTAATAAAATATCACTGTTGTCTTCTATTTGCAGTATGCTCCACTGAACACTTAATTTAGAATCACACAATTATGTTTGCTTAATGCCAATTAATTATTAAACATGTTTACTGAAGTCTGACAGCCATATAAGAGAGTCATCTTTTATATACTGGATGCCTGTTAAGCTTCAATAAATATATTAACAATCATTTGGTGTTTAATGTGCATACAATATCAGCTATACAATCTCAGGGCTAGATTGGTTGAAATACTTATTTTTAAAAGTGAGGCCCAAGTTGGTAATAGCCAGATCGTTAGTTGGGTCTGAACCTCAAGTACCATCAGCTGACGGGGCCCAAGGAGCTCATCATGGCAGGGAGGCATGCCCCAGGGGGAGTTTGCCTGCTTTCCCAGCTAGTAGCTCATGGGCCCTGGAGTCACCTGCCCAGGGGTTCACATCCTCGGTCCATAGATTGAATTAAACGAGCATTTGTTGTTGTTTGTTGCTATCAAGTCAGCTCTGACTCATGGCGATGCCACGTATAACAGAATGAAACATTGCCCAGTCCTGCACCATCTTCACGATCATTGGTATGGTTAAGTCCATTGTTGTGGCAACTGTGTCAATCCATCTTATTGAGGGTTTCCTTCGTTTTTGCTGACCCTCCACTTTACCAAAAATGATGTCCTTCTCCAGAGATTGGTCCTTCCTGATGACACATCCAAAGTAAGCGATCAGTAGAAGTCTCAGACAATATTCTGTGACCCATAGGATTTTCACTGACTAATTTTCAGAAGTATATCAATAGGCCTTTCTTCCTAGTCTTAGTCTGGCAGCTCCACTGAAACTTGTCCACCATAAGTGACCCTGTTGGTATGTGAAATATTGATGGCATAGCTTCTAGCATCATAGCAACATGCAAGCCACCATTGTATGGCAAACTGACTGACAGGTGGTAGAAACGAGCATTTAACTTGTTGCTGTTGTTAGGTGCCATCAAGTTGATTCCAACTCCTAGCAACCTCATGTGACAGAGCAGAACTATGCCCTAGGGTCTTCTAGGCTGTAATCTTTACGAAAGGTGATCACCAGGTCCTTCTCCCACAGAGCTGCTGGGTAGGTTCAAACCACCATCCTTTTGGTTAGCAGCTGAGCACTTCACTGTTGCACCACCAGGGCTCCTGCATCTAACTTAAACCAAAACCAAACCTGTTGCTGGCAAGTCAATTCTGACTCACAGCAACCCTACAGGACAGAGTAGAACTGCCCCATAGGGTTTCCAAGGAGCAGATGGTGGATTCAAACTGCCGACCTTGCGGTTAGCCACTGAGTTCTTAACCACTGTGCCCCCAGGGCTCCGCATTTAACTTAGGACAATTCAAATATACTGGTATGTGTTTGGCAAAAAGATGAGACGGGAAAAAAATGAGGAGTGAGGAAGGGAGAGGATGAGAGAGAAATAAAACTGGGTGATTCTACCCAACCCTGTGTTCAATGTCCTAGACTGAGGGTGAGGTGGGAGAGTGGTTCCTGATACATTTATGCAAAATCATACTGTTCATATTTATATAGAATAATACTGTCCGGGAGAATGCA